TTGTCTATATCTGCAAAGCCGTCTCTAGTATGAATTTCACTGTCTTTTGTAATTCACTAAGCGGCCCGTAAAGTTTGACTTCCACAAGTGTCTCTTTTGGCCAACGGTTTTGCCTGAAAGCGTTGAATCTGGGACAGTCTTGAAGGATGTGATCTGTTGTTTCGGGTGCCAATCCACAAGTACACATGGCTGATTGGCCAATCTCAAATTTGTTGTACATGTGGGAGCGAAGTCTATTGTGCCCTGTTCTAAGGCGAAGGATAATGACTTGCTCTGGTCTGTCCATAATATGGTAATCATCTTGTGCCAGTTTCGGTGGCATTCTGATTGATTTGATCATTCTCTTCTTCTGTTGATAAGAGACTGGTGTGTCAGGTTGTTCTTCAGTTGCACCTTCCTTAGCTAGTTTATCAGCTTTTTTGTTTCCGGGAACTCCACAGTGGGAAGGTATCCACTGCATTACTAATTTACAGCGGTTGCCTAGTTCGGATAATAGTGTCCGTATGCTTGGTAATTTTCCAGACTGGAGTGACTGAAGTACTGCTTTTGCATCTGTCAGGAATACCACTGGTTGTGAAAAATACCCTGTATTTAGTAGTTTCTCTACCGCTATCTTGATGGCTTGAACTTCTGCATCATAGTTGTGACAGTGCTTTCCCGTTGGTAATTTGGCTGTATCCCTGGTATTATTAGGATACTCAATGTACACTCCTGCACCTCCGTTTCTGACTGCGCTTTCTGCTGACCCATCTGTGTAAACACGGACCCAAAGGTTCTGCGGGTATTCATAATCAAGTAGACTGAGGGTGGCTGTTTTGCGCTGCACACTGTTTTGTTCTTCCTTGTCAAATACCCCTTTCACTTCAGTCTTGATGTGTATTGGAAACTTATACTCCTCTCTCCAGGGGGTCCGTTCTGGGACAGCATTTAAGGATCTATCAGTTGCAGGTAAATCAGTGGTTTGTCTGCCGAGCCGTTTGGACTGGTGGATAAAACTACTTCTCTTTAGTCGTCCCAAAGCTAAATTTTTGAATCTTTCATTCATGGGGTGACTGGGCATACTAAGAAACTTTTCTGCTTGTAAAAGCATCTTGGTGTCTCTGCGTTCACTCAGTGCTTGGGTCATCCCCATTTTCTCCATCACAGCTATAGGTGTTGATTTCATACTGCCTGTGGTAACTCCGAGTGCTTGATTTTGCACTTTGTCTAATTCTTGCAATGTGGTTTTTGATGCCGAACTCCATGCTGTTGATCCGTATTCAAGATGTGGTCGAACACTTTGTTGGTAAACTTTTCTAAGTATTTTCCCGCTAGCACCCCATGTGGTTCCACTTAGTTTTCTCAGAATGGCTACCCTCCTTCTGAGACATATATATGAAGCTAAAGAATAGAACAACCGGAAAGGGGGGGGGGGGGGAATTGGGGGTTCTGAAAGCAAATAAAACGTAACAATATCTGTATATCTTGATAAGATCAAGTGAAGGATGTATTAAAGAGTTTAATATAGAATCATCATCATAAAGCAGTCATCGCGGTCTGCTTGAAAGAAACTCGGTCTCTCGCCAGCTTTCATGTACTTTCATACTCAAGGAGTCACTTATATCCTGTGCCCATTTTCATTTCGGTCGGCCACTGTCCCACCTTCCTATAGCCTTCTGCTATAATTTTTCCATTCCGTCTTTGCGCTTAATATGACCACAATATTTTAGCTTCCTAATATAGAATAGTAATAGAAAATTAACATTTACTTTGTGAAGAATATTTTACAAATAATATTTGAGTTAGCTGGAAATAAAAGAAGGTTTTCAGAGCTTTACAGCGCCAGCTTTCATGAATGGAAATGAATCATGAACAATCAGCACTTACGTGACAAATAATATTACATTTTCGCTAACCACACTCAAGAATAACCAATCGTTTGGAACTAATCACGTTTTTGGGCCTAGAGGGTGTCAGGTTAGGATGCACTCTCTCTCGTGGGACCTAGACTGAGGCTATTCTCTCGGGCGGTTAGAGTTACGGCCAGTTGTAGATGTTATAGGGTGGTTAACAGTGGTGATAGCATCATGTAGTACCGGGGATAGTGTAGGAGACTGTAACCTGACATCCCTGTAAGAAAATGTCGCGCGTCTGAAAGGTTTGGACTCATCAATGAACGGCCAATCACGGTGTCGCTGGTCCTGAAAACCTGAGCTGTCCTTATTTACCTATGATATTTGTGTTGTAGTGGGCTGAGTAGACGCGCTGAGGCCAACCCCCCCTCCCCCCTCCCCCCCACTGTTTTACTATTTTTCCTGTGTAATGAGGAGGACCATGCGATTTGCGATGGTTTCGACATTGGTATAAAAAAAAGCCAAACGTCCAGAGGCAATGGCAAACTACTGAACGTAATTTTGCCTAGAAAAACCACACACACACCAGCCAGGGGCTGTTGGGGTTGGTTCTGCAACGTCCTGTAAAGGATACGCAACTAAACTTCAAAGAGGAGGACGTGGTTTTGGGGGGGGGGGGGGAGGAGAAGGAACTTAGTCCTCCTGCCTTTTCCCCCACTAATTTAGGGAGTGGTGTGCCCTCCGTCATTTTCAATTGTTAGCCCAGAAAATTTGGCAGGGGGAGGAGGGTGGGGGGCTCAGGGGATGTGCCTCTCCTCTACGTTTTCGTCGTGGTGGCATGCCTGCAACAAATAAATTACAATAAAACTTCCTTAAACCGTTAATTTCTGTTATCCGTCATCGTCTTAAAAATTACGAGTATTAACAAACAGAAACTTCAAAGACGCAGAAAGAGATGACAGATTATTTTAAAGTAACCTACATTTATGTACATTACTACTCTTATACTGAAATTTAAATTGATCGTTTAAACAAAAATTTTAAGTATTATTCACTTTTAAAGAATTTTATTTTCATTTTTGCCCCAAGAGTGCGTGAAATCGCATGACTGTGCATACGAGTATTTATTGGGATATTTTGTTTGTCCGTATTTTACATGGTTTGTCTCAGCCATGGTCCAAACTGTTACGGTTTATAGACGTTTTCTTCTTCTGTCTTTCTAACCCCCAACGGAGCATAGACCCTTAAGCAACGCACTTCAAGTCGTTCTATTCTTCACTTTCGCGTGCAGCTCTCCCCATAATATCATCTCATCTTTTCAACTTCGCTCTCTAGTTTCCTTCTATATGTTTTTTTTTTGGTCTTCCTTTATTTCTATCTTCCTGTGGGTTCCAGTGCAAAGACAATCTAGTTATACTGTTTTCAGGTTTTCTCAATGTCTGTCCTGTCCAACGACAGCGTCTTTTCTTCACCACTTGGTCCACTAGAACTTGCTAAGTTATCTCCCAAAGCCCTACATTAGCGATTCTATCATACAATTTAATTTTAAATTTTTTCTATTTTGCGCAGGCACCAGTTACTAAATGTTTGTAGTTTATTAATAATTGCCTTAGTTGTTCTCGAAGTTCCGCTCCATACAGTACTGATTTGACATTAAAATTAAAAATTTGTTGTTTAGTAATAATTTTAATGTATTTTAACCTGTACAAATTAATTTCCTACGACAGTAGAATTTCTTCTATCTTTCTACTTCTTTCTATGAGTGCCAATCAATACATTTTCTGTTACTTTATTTATACTCAAAACATGGCGACTACCCCTTACCAGCCCGCGTTTTCAGGTTACCTGGTAACCATCAGAGACCTAAATATGACATTTTAGGTTGAAAGGGGTTTCTGGGACTTCCACTTTGGGGATTCCTATCCGAATAGTTATTATTCGGTTCACCGCATGTTAATCACTCAGCACGCAGTCCTGAAGGGGCCCACTTTTTAGGGCAGTGTAGACAGAGGGGCCTTGAGCTTGAGGATTTACGCCACCTGGCTAGTGCAGTCACCACAGACTATTCAGATTACGATGTTTAATTTTGTTCCCAACAGAAAAACTACATAACCTAACCGGGGCTCGAACTCGGGTCCCCCGCATGAGAGCCTGACATTGTGACCAGCCACCCCTCCAGTAACTTTTCTCTCTGTCTTCCTCTGGTTCTTCTCCCCTCCAAATTTCTTACTGTCACAATGTACCAGTTTTCTCCTTCTCATCACATGAAAAAGAATGTAGATTGTCTCTTTCTGATACCGGCAGTCACAATAAGTAAGATAAATCTTGTTTGATGCAAAAACTGTGGGTCATCATCTGATTAAAAATAACAATAAAATTAATGAATAATACAAAATGACAGTTTTCCTGAATAAAAAACATATACAATGAGAAAGTAAGGGGAACAATTTTAATTTTAATTTCACTAGAGTATTTTTGTCAGGTTCTTACTATGCACACACAGTGCCATAGATTAACAAAACAAATGTTCAAATGTACAAATACTGTCTCATGTACTTTCTGTCTATTCTGACTCAGACGATCTTCTACGCATTGATGTCAAACTAATTAGCATTTTCTCTGTTGGTCTCCCTTGCCCCTCCCCCCTCCTCCCCCCGCCCCCCACAACTCTTCCACTGTCACCACATACTCAAGTATTCTGCTTCTCATGACATGACCAAATAATGTAGGTTGTCTCCTTCTGATTGGGCAATCACTTCTCTCGATGAGTCAGTTTCTTTAAAGACATCTTCATTACTTTTGTGTGTGTCTTGACCAGGGTTTTCACATTCATCGTTTATAAAACTCTATCTCTGCAGCTTCCATATAGGTTTTCACTAATCACCCAAATGACTGATTCACTTCCATATATCAGGATCAGATTTATATAGCTCTTGAGAATTCTCTTTCTCATCTCAATTGACAAAGAAATATTGTATTTTGTAAAATGTAGCCATTTCTTGAGAATTTTTAGCTACATTTAGTTTCTTTAATTCATCTTCTGAGGATTGTCCCATTAACTTTGCTGCAAATACATTTCTACTGGTGTGTACATGCCAGTCTTAACATGCAAACACAATGTCATTAATTAATAAGTCAGTATTCTAATATAAATACTTTTCTACCTAGTGGAATCTCGGTGAAAGAGGCCAAGGATACCCTCTTGGCTTCGGCAGCCTTCACTTTGGCTGTGTATTTGTTGGCCAAGTTCAGTTGCCTACTATGGGACAATTACGCCTTAGGTTTGAGGGACCCGAACATCAACTTGCCGCTCCCCCCTGGCAACATGGGCTGGCCTTTCCTGGGCGAAAGTCACCATTTTATCAATAAAGTAAGTCTGGGCTAACATTTAAAGTCACAGTAATTTATACCTAAATAGTATCCTGTTCAGCCCTCTTCTAATGTGGTGTAGCTCTTCTTATGTGAAGAATAGTTGTACTGTGTGTGACACAGCTGATCTGAAGTGCAGTCTAACTGTTCTAATTATTGTTAACTGTTCTTATGTGGGGTTAGTTGTTCTAAAGGTTTCTTGGCTGTACTTATTAGTCGCCTTTTACGACAAAGTACATAGATTCTTACGTCCTTCTTAGGACGTTATTTTTTGTTATTTGAAGCCCCACTCTGGCTTTTGCCAGGGGCCGCAATATAGGCAGGTCATAAAAATGGCCAAATGTCTGAACGCGGTTTCTGGGACCTCTCCACGGTGATCCTCATCCGCATGGTGGCACTTTGTGTCATCGGGTGTTTATCGCTTGTGTGATGTCCTGGTGGGGTAAAAAAGCCAAGCCGACTAATATGTGGTGTAGCTGTTTTATGTTTGGTGTGGCTATTCTGGTGTGTGTTGGAGCTGTTCTGAGTGTGATTTAGCTGTTCTTATGCATGGTATAGCTGTTCTATATTTGGTGTGGCTAGTCTAATGTGTGGTATGGCTGTTATATGTGTGATATAGCTGTTTTTATATGTAATGTAGCTATTCTAATATGTGGTATAGATGGTATATGCCTAGTGTTCCAGCTGTTCCAATGTTAATGTAGCTGTTCTAATGTCTTGTGTCTATTCTAATGTCTGGTGTAGTTGTTCTCATGTGTTGTGTAACTGTTCTAATTGTGGTGTTGTTGTTGCAATTATGACGTTCTGCAGCTGTTACATTTATAGTTTTACTGTTCTAATGTGTGGTGTGGCTGTTGTATTTTCTGGTTTGGCTGTTTCAATAATTTCCATTTGATTTAATCAAGGGTGCTGCTTTCTTTACGGAACGCCACGCCAAATATGGGGACATTTACAAGACACATATTTTGGGGCGCCCAATGATTCGCGTCTCGGGAGCTAGCAACATACGCTCCTTGTTGAATAGGGAGCCTCATCAACTGACAATGAGCACACCTACTTCTGCAAAGCGCATTTTTGGTGAGCAGAGTGTTGCAGTTGTCACAGGGCAGAAACACAGAAGCATGAAAAAGAAACTGTCCACCTGTGTCACTTATCAGAGGTATGTGTGCTGGAATCAACCTTTTATCCAATGTGATTTTCAAATAATAAATGTTGGAGTTCCTGGGGGGGGGGGGGGGAGAATTGTGGGGTCCAGATGTGGCTGGGGGGAATTTGGGAGGAGTAGACCCATTGCCCCTTAGTCCTTTGGTTCCGGGCATTAACAGGAAAGAACAAACATTGATTTTTAGGTTTCCTACTGGAGAGTGCTGTCTTAGAGCACACCTCCCCATGAAAGGTATAACAAAATCTACTGCCTGTTCCTGGGAAGCAGATGGACAAGACTCATGAGCATATACAGCAGGATTGCCCTGACAAAGGTTGTGGATCTGGCCCAATGGAGCTACATTACAAGAGAAGCTGTGAAGAACTGGTGGCAACCTTAAATGGCCCACCCTGATAGTAACCCAGACAGGACTAAATGTTTAGAACAGCAGATGATGTAGTTTAATTTAAAATATATATGTATGTGTTTTAACCCCAGACCTTTTCTCTCTATATAGTGAAGTAATTATGGGGGAAATTAAAGAGAATGCAGGAGTAAGAGTTGAAGGATACAATATAAACAATTTGCGTTATGCATATAATGCAGTTTTGATAACTAAAAATGCAACAGATTTACAACTGCTGGATTTTGTGGGGATGGAGAGTGCTAAGAAAGGATTTTAATTGAATATTAAGAAAATGGAAGTAATGCTTATATCAAACAAGAAGATAATTTCACAGTATAGTATCTCAATTGAAAGAAAAAGACTTAATCAAGTCAATATATTCAAATATCTGGAAACAGTCATATCATCAGATGGAAAATGTGTGACAGAGATTAAAAGCAGAATAGGTCAAGTGAAAGCTACATTTCAGAAAATGAAAAATATCTTATGCAATAAATCGCTCTCATTTAATGTCAGAAAAAGGGTGCTAAAATGTTACATAGAACCTGTTCTGCTGTATGGCAGCGAATCTTGGAATGTCAGTGAACAAATTAGGAAGAATTTGGAAGCAACAGAGATGTGGTTTTTGAGATGAATGTTACGAATACCTTGGGTGGCCAGAGTAACTAACAAGGATTGCTTGAAAGAAGCTAAAGAAAGTAGATCTCTATATACAACAATAAGAAAGAGACAAAGACTGTTCTGTGGCCACATAATGAGAAGAGAGACATTGGAGAACATTGTGACAACTGGAAAGATCAGTGGAAAAAGCGGTAGAGGCAGACCAAGAGAGATGATGCTGGATGGGCTGAAATGATGGCATGGAGAGATATCATTAAAAGAGCTGTTCCAGGCAACCAGGGATCGTGATCTGTGAAGACGCATGAGCGCCTATGCAAATTGACAGGGCACATGATGGTGATATATATATATATAAATATATAATTATGCAAATCATAACCCAAAAGAGTTTAATAACATATTTGTGATTAAATTTCTACTATTGCTAATAAACACAAAACTGCTTCATTAATACAAAACAGCATTCATACACCTTCCTCTGAACAGAAAAGCAGATTTCTTCATAACTAGAGTCCCTTAGTATGGCTGTTTTATGCAGCTGAACAGAGTATTGGGAATTTATCCTTTTTGAGTTGGCATCCAAATAGTGGCTCTTAGAGTTGTCGGGTGTCAAACCTACAGGTGGAAGTATTTTTTAAGGGGCTTGCAAAATAAAACTTATCACAGTTAAATTGTCTTTGTGTACACCTCAGGCTGGTCGACTATATCCCATGTATACAAGAAACCATGCGGTCTCACATCTTGTCCTGGTGCAGTAAGGAGGAGGTCCTGGGATTCATGGTTTGTGAGGAACTCATGTGTGATATCATGCTGGAGATAGCCTTAGGCTGGCGGAAGGAACATGATGTAGATGGGCAAGTCAGAGCAGCTTTTCTAACCATTAACCGGAACCTGATTTCACTTCCTGTAAAGATACCAGGAGGGGGATTCTACAAGGTAACAGATTTTAGGCTTTTAGCCCCAGACACATGTTGATTATTTGGTTCTATCCTATTCCTAACAAATTGTTATTTGTACTCGCCTAATTGCTTGGTATGCCATGATGTTGAGGAGTCTGAGGTTGTCAGTTCATCTTCTACATTCATCCAAAAGAGGGTGTTGAGCACAATGTATTGAGGTTTACAGCTAGGCTTTGATATCTGCACTTTTTTTAACCTAACATATCCAATTTCAGCAAACCCCAGCCATTCGCCTTACTTATGACATTTTTTTGTTTTGCAGCAGGTGGTGTTTTTTTATTTATTTATCTCAAAATGGAGCCCTAGAAGGTTTTCAGTGATCCCTTTATTTCATATTCTCCTAATGTTTCCATTTCTATGTTGTATGCACTCAGTGCCAGCATCATTGTGTTCATTCTCTTTAGGTGACTGAACCATTTCAGTCTCTATTTCTTAATGATTGTTACTTTAATTCATAAATATATGGTTCTTTATGTGTTACAATAATAAGACTTTGAGAGAGAAGGTAGTTATAACTGAAAATGGGTTAATGTTACAAACTGATGGGGCACAGTGATAAAGAGAAGTATATTATGTAAGGAAAGGATGCTTTTCATGCAGATATCACCCACTTGGTGTCAGTTGGGCTATGTCATTGGTCTCCAAACCTGAGGGGTGTTGTACACTCTAAGGGGGGCATGAGGAGGTTTCAAAGGGGGCATGAGGAGGTTTCAAAGGGGGCATGAGGAGGTTTCAAAGGGGGCATGAGGAGGTTTCAAAGGGGGCATCAAGCAATTTTAAAACTGAGTGCATTAGTACTTGTAATAATCAGTTTTGAAAACAATGCTGACAGCCTGATGTTGAGAGTGATCTCCACTGTGTCTTGTTCAATATCAGATCAAAAATAGCAGATATCATTAAGACACAACAGTGTCAACCATCACAGTGATATCTGGACACTAAATTACCAGTCGAAGGTGATGGTTCCTTTTTTTATTTGACACTTTGAATTAAGTGCACATTTTTCTCCAAGTTCTCGCTAACAGTTAGTTAGTCTTTCCTCTTGAGCCTATGACATCACAGAGGTCATAGCTCTTCATGTCTGGCAGTTCGTTGCCACCTATTTTAGGTCTTGGATGTTCATTAGACCTATGGTTGAGCCTTTCCTGATGATGGTTCTACCCAGAGTCTCTCTTGGTCTTCTCCGTTTTTTTTTCCTTTCCGGTGTCTATATAAAGGCTTGATGTTGGAGTCTGGTCTTAATCCATTCTGAGTGCATTGCCGATGTAGTTCCAGCAACGCTTTCTTAAAAAATTGGATACATTATCTTGCTTGGTCTCTTGCCTTATTTGCACACTAGATTTAAAATCTGTTCAGTGGAGATTTAGTATTCTTTTAAGACATCTGCTCTCAAAATTGTCTATTTTGTTTAATCTAGAGCTACTCTAGCTTTCCAATTCCCGCATCCATAACTAAACAGTTCATACCATTGTTAACAGTACTTGATTTTTCTCTCTGTCCTCTTTTTAATGGCATTTTGTTATGTTGGGAGGCAAAGGTGGGGGTGGGGGAAGGATAGGGTGGGGGAATTTTAGCCATATACTCAAGGAGGGTGCTATCTGAGAAAGATTGAAGACTGTTGGTGTGTATGTGTTAGAAACCTATACCTGATGTGCCACTGGTGTGAGATAAGTCCTTTACTTTCACATTTCACTTGTCTGACCAAAGAGAGAAAGAACATTATATTATCTTTAGACTGGCAAGAAGTGTATCTAAATGTTTAATGTTTAATTAAGAATCAGCATTACAGCACATTCCCCAAAACGCGCCGATACCATCTTCAGCAGCAGGTATATTATTAAACCTCTTAAGGTATATTTGCTGTGCTTGATACCATCTTCAGCAAATGTATCTTGACATGCTTAACACTGAAAGAGTTAATAAATTAAATATACCATAATTGAATTTTCTTTTCTAAACAGGCAATCAAAGCCAAGAAAATTATTGTGGACTTTGTCAAAAAACGACTGTATTCCAAAGGTGATAAGGATCACGTATGTATGTTGGACATCCTCTTGATCAGTTACGGTGAGGAGGAAGGACTAACAGAAGAAGAGATCATTGATAATACTGTTACCTTTCTTCTTGCTGGCACTGGGACAACGTCAAGTGCCCTGAGTTCTTCCTTGATGATGCTAGGGAAACATCCAGAAGTGCTGACTGACATCAGGAAAGAGTTGGACTCAAAAGGTCTTTTAAATGCAGGTTAGGAGGCTATCAACTTGAGTTTGCAAATAAGAGAGAAAGTGTGTGTGAATATGTTTAAGTTAGTGTGTTTCAGAGTATGCATGCTTGCCAAACAGGGAAAGCTTGGCTGTTTTAGATGATTCATTGAGCAGGGATTAGCAGATATTGATGGATTATTGTTCAGGGGGCTACACTAAAGAACTCAATACTTTGACATCTGTACTGTGACACTCATTCTTGTCAATTTTATGCTGTCATATTTGTACCCTCATGCAGGAGAACTGGGTAATGCATGACAATTGTTTTCTGTCCAGGGCAAAAACAAAAATCCTACGATGCACAGTTCATGGCTACTGCATTAGCCATGCAGCCTCAAATCCTCAAGCTCACGGCCCCTCTGTTTGACAAGGTCCTAAAATTTATAAATGCAGTAAAGACAGTGGATGTCATAAGTTTCCATATGCAGGAAAGATAAACATTTTTTATGAAAACTATTTTTATTTATGCAATATACTCGACGTGACTCCCATTTTGAAAACACATTCTGATGCATGCCTGCCACTGCAGAAGAACATGTATTAGCACAGCTGGACTTAAGCTTGTACGAGTGGATGGCTTGATGGCAGGGCCACTGTGGGTACAGGAAAAGCAATGGGCTGGACCGATATTCTTAGGGCTGTCAAGGAAGCAGGACAAGAAGATGATTCAAGAGATGACATTGAATCAGCAGCACTTAAAAGATTACAAGAACTTCAGGTCAAAAGAGATGTCACCAAACATAAACACTATACAGGTAGTCAAAGAAGAACAGTAAACCAACACAGAAGTGGTGTTATCAGTCAGCACACACTGGAGGATATACTGAAGATAGGATCTGAGCTTGTATGGACTTGTCCGATGTGCTATGAGGATAATCTTTTGATTAACTAACTAAATAACTAACTTATGCTTGTAGTGTCTTGGTGATATGCTTATTTTTTTTTCCTATGTATGGAAATGTATAGGACACCCGTATTCTCACAGTTTCACTCTCACACAAGTCCTTACCCACACAGGACTGCACCTGCCTGGTGTGACCATTATGGGTGCCCTAACTATAACTTCTTTGGAGGTTCAGCAGAATATCTGGGATCTGCCTTATCGGTTTGCCATCCAGACTGATATTTTGAAATCTCAGGATGGTGTGGTAAACATTTGGGTAGCAGCCCAAGGGAACAAACTGAATTATCAATCGATACTGATACACCTGTACTCCTGTACCTGCAAGCATTTTCACGCCTGTATTTTATTTTACACACACAAACACACACACATGCACGCAGGCACGCACGCACACACACACACCACACGCACGCACACACACACACACACACAAAATAAAAACACAAATGTTTGATCCTGTGTCACTCTGCTGAAATTATTGGGCTAGCGGGAAGAAGGAAAAAAAAAAGAAAGAGGTAGATAAGGAAAAGAAAATATGGCTAGGACAAAATGTGGTAGTTTCCCGCTGAACAGCAAAAACAGGAAAAGTTAAGAAAAGACAAGGGTTCTTGTAGGTAGGGGCCACAAAATATTTCATCACAACCATGGCGATGAATATGTGAATTACACAATTACAACAACTATGACTGCACACACCTAGATGAACCACCTGCACGGACTACAAAACCTAACTTGAATCAAGCGAATGAATTATAGTCATCACATTGAACATCTGTTTACTTTACTGAATACAAAACTAAGCGTTTCACAGATAACATTATATTAACAATTAACATCGTGTCCACACGTGCTAAGCATTTCAACTTACAAAAGTGAAAATTCACTCCCAGTGACCTGAAACCAAATTTCTCTGAGCGATGATATACACTGATATCTAACTCTACACAGTTCAACTATTGGAGGAATTTCAGATTTATCTATAATGGAAATTTATATCTAACCAAAAACATACCACCTCCTGTACCTGCATACACTTCCACACCTGTATTTTATTGCAAAAAGAAACCCCACACCACAACACGCACATGCACACACGCACGCACTCACACACACATGTGCTGAAATTATATATCTGAATGACTTTACAGAATCAGGTATAGACCTCAACTATGAGCTGATACAGAGCTTAGATAGTTGCCAGTCAGTGTGTAAGGAAGTCCTGCGTCTGCACCCACCTGTTGGGGGATCTTTCAGGCAAGCACAGACTACCCTCGATGTTGGAGTAAGTATTGGTATTTCTTACTCTTTTATTCTGAGGATGCATGCATGTCTTCTAATTGTTAACTTTAATCCCTTTGTACTGTTCGATATAAACTCCTATGTCCTAATTGTTGCATTACCCATGTGTCCTAGATTTACATTAATCCTTCTGTCCTAATTTTTACAAAAGCCCCTCTATCATAGTTGTTACATTAACCAATCTGTCCTCATTTTACATTACCCCTCTATTTTAGTTGTTGCATGAACCAATCTGTACTCTTTATTACATTAACTCTCTATCCTAGATGTTGCATTAACCAATCTGTACTCATTATTACATTAACTCTCTATCCTAGTTGTTACTTAACCAGTCTCCTCATTATGACATTAACCCCTCTATCCTAGATGTTACATTAACCAACCTGTCCTCATTATTACCTTAACCCCTCTATCCTAGCTGTTACATTAACAAATCCATACTCATTATAGCATTAACCCCTCTATCCTAGTTGTTGCATTAACCAATCTTTCTTATTTGTTATGCCCCTCTGTCCTAGTTGTCACATTAACCCATCTTTTCTAAGTGTCACATTAACCTTTCTGCCTTAGTTGTTATTTTAATTTGAGAACAAACAGTTATCCCTAAACTCAAAGTCACTTTATATCTAACTATGATGTATCTTATGTATTTAGTAAATGTAAAAAAACTCATAGCACACAGAATGCTGTTGACATACAATTTTTTATAACCGAAATCTGTGTTGTACAGGGTTACCGGATTCCCAAAGAATGGAAGGTCATGTACGGCGTCAGGGAGACACAATTCAGCACGACTGTGTTTGAGAACAGAGAGATGTTTTTTCCCCAAAGATGGATGGACAAAACTCTGGAGGTAATTTATTTCCTAATCTTTGTAAATGGTATAAGAATATTACCTCCTTTAACCTGATCTATTTAAGTTATAAGTAGGTTAATATATTATCTGTTAAGCTCATTTTTTTTAGAGATGGTACAGACGCTGGATTGGATTCTATCCATGATTCTTTGTTATTAGAAAGTCGTCTCCTCCTGGAATGCAATTATTTGTTATTTTGAAGCCCCACCCTGGCTTTTGCCCGCGGCCCTGAAAAAGCCGGTCCAAAAATATGTCCTAGCCATAGATATGGCCTAACGGCTGAAAATTGTTTCTGGGACCTCTCCATGGGGGATCCTTTTGCGCATGGTGGCACTCTGTGTCACCGGGTGTTTATGACTTGTGTGATGTCCTGGTGGGGTACCACTACCTAACTACCTACCTGTCCATGATATAGAAAATACTGCACAAGAATGGCGGAACAGAATATGAGCCTAATGTGACATTTAAATGCACAACTGGATGTGTGCTCTTGATAAGTTCTGCTGCTGAATTTCTTCTGGCTTCCATGACAACCTTTCTAGCATTGTTTTTCTTCTTCTGCAGACACTCTCTGTCTTTTTAAATGTCCCACCATTCTCTAAAGTACCCTACCTCTTAGGTGCCCAAAAAAAGACCATTGTCTTAGCTTGATGTGAATTAGCCTTTTGCAGTTGCTTGGGATTTAAACATTTTTTTTTATATGGATTGTCTAGCACTCTGTGGAGAAGATATATCTCTGTTACTTCCTACTTTCCATTCAGAATGAATGTGGAGGAATGAATAAAACACAAATATACAGTCCCACACATGCTTTGTGCCCTTTCTCAGCAGCCAATGAAGAGTTTCTATGCCAACAGTTCCAGTTGCAACCTGATTAAAAGTCCACCTGTTTTTCTCTCAGCATTGAATATCGACCAGACATTCATAAATACATAACAGTATGAGCAGTATAAAACATCCAGAAACTCCTGAAATAGAAAAACATAAAACTACCCTCCAAAAAAAAAGAAATAGTGTGAAAAAAGGTTGGTATGTGGATACCCAAATAAAGAGAAAATCCATAATATAAGTTAACTGTGACTTTCTGCCACAGTTTACAGCCACTGAATGCTAAGAAAAAGAATATTCATTTGTGCTTTGTGCCCTTTCTCAGCAGCCAATGAAGAGTTTCTATGCCAACAGTTCCAGTTGCAACCTGATTAAAAGTCCACCTGTTTTTCTCTCAGCATTGAATATCGACCAGACATTCATAAATACATAACAGTATGAGCAGTATAAAACATCCAGAAACTCCTGAAATAGAAAAACATAAAACTACCCTCCAAAAAAAGAAATAGTGTGAAAAAAGGTTGGTATGTGGATACCCAAATAAAGAGAAAATCCATAATATAAGTTAACTGTGACTTTCTGCCACAGTTTACAGCCACTGAATGCTAAGAAAAAGAATATTCATTTGTATTCTGAACTGTAAGTAAAATAAAAGACAATTTCCTTTTCCTGATATGCATTAGGTTTATTGTGTTAAATATTTACTTTTATAAATACTTATAAAATAGAAAATTTACCAGACTGTGCATATATTTCTGTGTCACAAAAACTCTTCTCAAATTATTATCCGTCGAGGGGTGAAACTTGCAGCTGCATTCTGGATGAAAGCTCAAAGTTAACTGTGCTATTTGCAACAAGGTTTCTATGTATTTCTAATAATTAACAACAGTCACTAACAAATAACAATTACTGGAGTTATTTCACTTGAGTACCTACACATTTCATCAGGCCACCTAAAGAATAATTATTTTTTGCTTTTATCTTACTTCAAACTTCAAATATGTCATTTTCCTATAGCAATGAGAGCCGCGATAGTGTAGTGGCTAAACTAGACCTGTATTTCCTAAAGTGGGCGCTACCACCCCCTGGGGGCACTAGGAAGGTTGAGATGGTGGTAGCTTTAGTGGTCAAATTCTGGGCAGAGCTGAATTGTAGGAGCCTTAAAACAATGAATAAACATAAGTCAGCGGTGGACTCACAGAAGAAGTAGAAGACAGGAAAACAAAATTTCCAATAACTATTCTGACAAAGCTGGGAAGTGTAATTTAGCACTTTTATAAATAGGAAACATATCCCACTTTTAACTTAGAGAAATCAATAAAATTTGACTTTGTTACTATCATTTTTATATTTCTTGTTTCTTCTGCATTTACCCTCTTAAGGGCAAATTGTGTTCCGGTTTAAATTTAGACTGTGATTTCTGTGCCTTTCTGCACAACACACCCAGTTGCGCCAAGCCTTTAATTAGTCACCTGTATTGACATGTTCACTAAAGGAGCAGTGGGTCTGTTCTCCCCATCTCCCAAATAAGACTGCTGAACCCACAAGAGAAATCATTTCGTTAATCAGGTGCTGTCTTCACAATGAATGTTGACTACAATGGTTCTCCAAAGTGTTCTATCTCTCATGCTGGTTGCACACCCTCTGAGATGGTGCTGCTGCTCATCTTTCTCTTAATCTCATCCTAATTGTATCACTATCTGCTTATCCTTGATGTGGGTGTATGTGTGCACATGTGAGTGTGCACAAATATTTTACCACCTGTGCTTTTGTATTTTTGCTCGATATTCATAATATGCATATTATTATATGAATATAACAGGCTTTATTTATAAAATAAAACTGCTGTGTGAAAGATGGGTGTTTCAAAGGGTAAGATGGGTCTGCGTGCCCAAATTGTAACCCTTTGAAAATAAAGTCCGTTTGTTCGTTCCTTTTTATTTACAGTCATCTAAAACTTCTTCATCTTCAGTGACCTCTAGTCATGGACTTAATCCACTGTGGGCCATGAACTAGGATGTCAGTTCATGTCTCTTGGGTATCCCCAAAGCTTAGTTGTCAGGTCTACTGGGCATGGCCACATATTGTTTCACAGCTCCTCCAGGAGACGACAGTCTTATTAAAATATCGATACTTCACATTTCAGGAAACTCTGCGTACAAGTGCATCATGCAGCTACATGCCTTTCGGAAGTGGGCCTCGTCTGTGTTTGGGAAAATCCTTGGCCTTGATGGAGATGACCATATTTCTTGTGGAGCTTGCTCGTCTGGTCATGTGGAAGTTACACAACCCAAATGCCAAGGTTATACACTTGCCAGTGACCAAGGCTAATGATAATTTGCCTGTGTCTTTCACCAGACGGAGTTAATTGTTTAATAAGCTATGTGACTGTTCCTTTTTATATGTACAAGCTATTTTGATGTATACAGTCACAAAGAGAAATTCAGTTATAGGTTTTCTAAATAAAATTTTCAATATTTAATAATCTGTCAAACACCACTTTTGACATAGAAAGATATGTCTACCAAGGCATGTCTCATGATAACTATTTTCAAGCCAGCTCTGTGCTACCTATGTCAAACATGAAAACTTCCTTACTACAATCAATGAGTAGAAAATCATAACAGCAGAAATGAGATGTCTTTGGATGGCAGCTGGGTTCACACACCAAAAAAAAAATAAAAAAATGCCGAACTGAAAATATGAAAAATGTGAAGATTTCTAGGACTGAAACAAGTTGTACAGATAATTAAAGACGAGATGGTTTGACCTTTGAGCTGTGGGAGAGAACTATGTTGAAGAAATATAATGAGCACAGAGCAAGATGAAAATCAAAATATGGTATGACATCATCACTAGCAACTTCAAAGAAATAAAGATCAACTTACACAATGCATTAAAAAGAATACACAGAAAATCCTTACATCTTCTTTTCCCCCACCCCCAACATTCTGCTGCGGTAAATGAAGTAATAGACAAAACAGAAAAGAAAAAAAAGGAAGAAGTAGAAGAACAATCAGACCCCAAAAAAAAAACACACACACAACATCTAGTCGTGTTGGAGGCTTCCAAATGTTTCTGAAGTGAATTGTGACTTCCTTGTGAGTGTGAGCGAACGAACGTGCACATGCATGAGATATGATTTGGTTACTCTCACATATAATTCTAAGATCCTGAAGAGAACAAAGATAGTCTGCAATTTTTTTGTATTTCAGTTTTGTTGTTGTGACTGTATAGATCAGCATAGTCTGCACATGTCAGATGATAACATTGATAACATGTCAATGTAAACAGAAACATTCTCAGCATTAAACAATATTATAACATAAACATCAAAACATTCATAACAGCAATTTTTTTTGAGAAGGGGAAAAGGGGGGGGGGAATGACATGAATGAGTTGAAATGTAATTATTTAATATGACAAATGTTTGCAAATTTTGATTTGTACCAGCTACTTTTTATGTCTTTCTTTGATTGTACAATAATGTTAATAGTCATTTGTCCACATCCCTATGCTGCCTCCTTTCTTATCTCTTTGAGGTTTGAGGTTATGAACAACCGATCAACATCATGGCACACGGATGTAATGCATAAGTGCTCCGTTCTTCTTCTAACTCAAGTCTGAGTCCGTTGAAGCTCAGCACAGTGCACAGGCTCTGTAGCACCAGCGAAGATCCTGAAATATTTTTGGTAAACTCATAATTTTGCCTGAACAGCACCGTTAGGCAACTCTTTTAGATTTCCAGCTGCCAATGGATTTTTTAAACGTGCGCAACAATGCACACTGGCATCCGATCTCATTATCCAGAGACCAGGGGGAACCCAGAGACCAGGGGGAATTACTAGAAGTCCAAGTCCATGTGAAAAAAACATCCCTTCTCAGTGATTGAACCCAGAGGCAGACACTATGCCTGAAGACTATGCAGCCCCCTATTTTTGTATCCCTTTCAGACAATCCACAGTCATTCATTGTCACTACTTTTCACTATAATTTTGGCTGTATTAGGGAAAAAAAAAAACTTGTCCAACCTGGCATAATCAATATTGTGTAGGCTTAAAATGGTTATCTTTATCAATAGAATACAAATTTATTTGAGGAAAAAAGGATGTCCCAGAGAAAACCTAAAATAAACCTTCACAAGAGACACCAAAGGTGCTACTTCTTCTTCTTCTTCTTTGCGTTCACCAGCTGTAAACTCTGGCGGAAGGTTCTGGTTGCTCGTCCACTACTGAACTGCAGTCCTGCTCCAGAACCTGACTGTTGTGTGTGCATCAGTTTTACAGATCTCATTCTCTTGAATACAGACTATTGGTTCCTTGCCTCTCCGGCAGATGCACTCCAACTACAAAGGAAGCTCCCCAATTAGTCGACTCTTACGACAGGCTTTTGGCAATTGCCACATAAAATGCAGGTTAGGATTTTTAATTTAATCATCCCTACTGTCAGCACCATTTTGTACAGAGTACATGTGACGTCTGTAAAGATTACTAGGCATGCAGTCACAAGTCAAGAGGTATTAGAGCAAGAATTACAACAGTTTTCCTAATATTCAGTTTTTGAAAGCTCGGATAACTATCACACACTCAGAAGATGTTTCTAAGGACATCCTTTATCTGTATACCACATGTTGTCAGTATATTCTCAAATATATCTTATTTCTTATAAAAGCAGGAGGGGAAAAAACATGGTGTAGTTTAAACTATGATGCAGTGACATTCCATCAAGGGTCTCCAGAAATGGAAAATATATGCAAATACAGTACATTAAACTCTTTCCATCCCAGGAAGATATCACTTTAATTCGTTGATTCCTAAATATGTGTTACCTACAGTTATGAATGTTTAGTTCAAGAACGGTTAAAGCACAATAATAAATGACAGAATGAGTGAGGCAACAATTATAAAAGCAGTTTATTATAACAGCTACAAGAAGAGCTCAGTGTTTAGCAAAGCTCTTAATCTAGGGAGTAACCTTTAAACTCATTGCATGCAGTTACCACATTAACTCATTTATTCCTAAATATTTGATACCTACAGTAATGAGTGTTTAATTCCAGAAGAATACAATAACACTAAGGGATGAAAGAAGTTAACCCAAGCTATCCCAGGTGTCACTCTATTGTAACAGCTGCATGAGAGGCAAACTGTTCAACAGAGCATATCACGTAAGCAATAGCCAATAATAGCCAATAATAGCCAATAATAGCCAATAATAGCCAATAATAGCCAATAATAGCCAATAATAGCCAATAATAGCCAATAATAGCCAATCAACTTATGGTGAGTTGATTGGTATTGAATGGATTAATAAAGATAAATGATAAGTGAAAGTGACCATGGAGGGAAGCCAGCTTTCTTTAAAATATTCTGACCAAATGTTCAAAGTAAGAGAACCTAGTAGGTGATAAATTGCATTAAGAAGAAAAACTTATGTCACATTTTTTTTTTAAATTTCCTGGGCCTGAAAGAGTTCATAATCTTTTCTACACTGATGTTACCTGCTTATGTTGTTGGCATGATGCCAAAGTTACCTCAATAATAAATCTGTCTTTTGAGAAAACTGTCTTTGAACAATAAGATCTTTCTGAAAAAATTGCACTGTGGCTAATGAAAACTGCAGTTTTGTGAAAAGTAATACTTTATTTAGACTATTTGGAGTAGAAATTCACTTGTGTGCATTTGGCATTTGACCAGTGACAAATAAAAGACCTGAAATTCCACTTGGGTGAAAACTGTTAGATTGCACTTGGGATATTTTAACATAGTGCCAATGACATGTCATCAGGATATTCTTGTCCACATTAATGTCATCTGCACTAATGTCATTACCATACACATGTTGTAATGTATAAGCTATCTGTTATTGTGAACCTATTATTAAGTAATGTGTTAATTCTTATCTGTCTATATCATAATTGTACATTTATCTGATATTTTTGTATTGCCATAAATTGCTGACCGGCGTCAAGCTTCAGTGTCAAACATGAGTTAAATTGTGCCATATATGTAAATAGAAAATGTAACAGTGTTGTCGGTTTGTGGAGGTGTAGGATGAAGATGAAAGTGTAGGGTGAAACAGAACTGTCTTTTGTAGGCAGCGGGTGAGAGAGTTAAGTGTGTTTGGTAAACAGTGGGTGAGAGAGCTACATGTGTTTGATAAATAGTGAGTGAGAGAGCTAAATGTGTTTGGTAAACAGTGGGTGAGAGAGCTACATGTGTTTGGTAAATAGTGAGTGAGAGAGCTAAATGTGTTTGGTAAACAGTGGGTGAGAGAGCTACATGTGTTTGATAAATAGTGAGTGAGAGAGCTAAATGTGTTTGGTAAACAGTGGGTGAGAGAGCTACATGTGTTTGGTAAATAGTGAGTGAGAGAGCTAAATGTGTTTGGTAAACAGCGGGTGAGAGAGCTAAGTGTGTTTGGTTAGCAGATTCTGAAGAGAATGGGAATAAAGTGAAAACTATTAGTTAAATGAAAAGAGACAAGTGAAATATTTTGGTTATTTTAAAAGAGATAGCACACTTCTGAAAACCGTGCTGGAGCGAAACATTTAAGGCAAACAAACAAGGATAAAATAACACTAAGTTAATCGAAGGCAGCGATAGAAGAAAGAAAATGACATCAAGAGATGGATGAACAGCAGTCCAAGAGAGTATACATTCAGAGCAACAACAAAAAAAAGTATGATGGAGATCCATTACTACCCACCTTTTTTTGTGGAGACGGCATGTGATTGATTGATTTATTGATTGATTGATTGATTGATTGTGTGAGAGACATAAGTGTATTTGGGAGAGAGTGAATTAATTATGTATTCAGTTAATGTTTAGATGTGTATGCTAGTTAATTACATTTACTCAATTATATATTACCTTATATCTTTTATTCCACAATATCTATGTTGTACAGAATATGTCAATCTTGCAGAATCAACTCACCTAAAGGAGTTGATTTCTTTGGTTTGAGTGAGTGTATTTGATTTACTGTTTCATGAATTATCTCTTTATGTTTCCTTTATTTTCTGGGATGCAAGTTTTCAACAACAGTAACAAAATGAAAATTTTTTTCTGCAATAATTTTAAGCATTTGTGCATTTCAAATCAAGCCATGTGTCTATATAATTATCTAAGGAAAACTGTTGTGAATATTATGTAACATTGGTGGATATGTATGTTATCTAAATTAATTCAAAAACATTGAGAGTAGAATGCTGAATTATGTTTGTATTGATGTTTATGTGTATTATTGTTTCTTTCTGTATAATGCAAGTTTATTACCAGTTTTATTCTCAGCCAAGATCCCCAAACACAGAATTAAGATTGTGACTATAGTTGTATTTTTTCACTGAATGTCAGTCTGCAACCTGCTAATATTAAGTGCACAGTATACAAGCTTCTGCTATTCTATTAGAAACTATGTGACAAGATTACACCAATTTGTTCATTTCCTGAAACTCATTACCAGCCTAAAAAATTATAATTTTGACAACAGAACCAAATGATTTTAATAAAGTTGAATTTTTTAAGCACTCATTGGAGCTTCTGCATATATTCTTCTCCATATACTTGTGACAACGCAAAGTCATAGATATATTTGTGACATCTAAAATACCAAAACGCATTTAAGACACCAACACATTTTTCTGACATGAATGCAAGCATTAGAATATGCTTGAAATTTCAAACATCAAAATGTCTGCTAACAATGCAAAGCCAATTTCATATATTCTAAACACTAAAACACATTTGTGAAAGCACTATATACATAGATATATGTTTGAGACTACGTTTATTTCTAGAATGTTCTAGATTTTACAGAACTAACATGTTTCTGACATTGAAACAAGATGGTAAAATTACAACACAGCATTGAGATAGCGTAACTCGCTTTTTGTAATTTTAAAAATAAAACTCATATTTAAAAAGAAAAAACTCAATTGTTTTAGACATCAGAAAACAAAAATTTACCTTAGACAAGCAATTTTTGAGATAACTCAATATTTAAATTTAAAGTACAGGAACATGTTTGTGATCTGAAATTCACTGAATGAATCTGTGTTTTTGGACAATACAAATTCACTAAAAAGACAAATGCAGCGTGTGTTTTTCTTGTGTTGAGAATGTGTCATTTCTTCCTCTTCTTTTTCTTCCTCATCTTCTTCTGCATCTTCTGTCCCATCCTTTTCTTCTTCCTCCTCCACCCTTACTTTCTTCCTTTCTACCGAAAAGGGAGTTGTTTTTGTTGTCTCCGATTACAGAGAAGTAATTAAGGATGCAAGAAAAAAATGAACCATTTATGAGTAGTTTAGTTGTATTGTTGCTTATAAACTAACTACATCTTTTCTGCTAAGTAAAACGTTCTAGCTTTGAAGTATACACAGTCTGCCTAGAAGGTAAGCTCCAACAGACAGACAGAGCACTGCTCTTTTGATCCAGCAAATTCTGCAGCATGCTTTATTCCAAGTGTATTGGTGTTACCTTTTCTCTGAAGTAAACACGCCAAGCCTAGAGAAGGGTCATGCCATATGCGCAAGACTTGGTCTCTACAATACTGCCAAAGCTTTTTGCTAAGGAAGGAAGAAACTTTATACATGATCTTATTATTATTATTTTTGTTTAAGGGGGAAAAGTAGGAAATGACTGCAGATTGGTTAACAGCATTGTCTTGATCACCTGCATTGCCCGGCACAAAGATAAAAGTTAAGCAGGTTATTTGTGATGCATTCAATGGAAGAATCTAAATCTTGCCTGACGAAGCCGGCTTGAATTTTCTTGAGCATATTCACCGAATTGCTCATTCTGTATGTCTGTCTCTTGCATCTTGGCATAGCACATGCTGATGAAGACGATTGTTTAGTGCATTCTTTTCATAGACTTTATATTCGATGGCATCATTACTTTAACTTACACACACAGACACATACACACACGCACACATACTACATACACAGTAACACATTTGAAGAAAACATAACATTTTATTAGTAATTCAGAAACCAGTTGCATCGTATCGTGTGAGCAACTAGCATCGATTACAGTATTTACTGCAGTAAGTATTAGCCCAGGTGGTATCGCTGCAGGCCAGTTGTGAGTACACAGAACAAAAGTTGATTAAATCTTCGCAGATGGACGCTGAACATACAGAGAATATAGATAAGTAATGTGTGAGATCTGTCTGTCTATCTCTCTGTCTGTCCATCAGTCCGTCCGCACGTCTATCCACCCACCCATACCCCATCTATCCATTCATCTAGCTATCCATCCATCTGTCCGTCCATCCGTCCATCTGTCTGTCTGTCTGTCTGTCTGTCTGTCTGTCTGTCTGTCTGTCTGTCTGTCTGTCTGTCTGTCTGTCTGTCTGTCTGTCTGTCTGTCTGTCTGTCTGTCTGTCTGTCTGTCTGTCTGTCTGTCTGTCTGTCTGTCTGTCTGTCTGTCTGTCTAACCTACCTACCTGTCTGTCTGTCTAATAAAGTTCTATCTATCTATCTATCTATCTATCTATCTATCTATCTATCTATCTATCTATCTATCTATCTATCTATCTATCTATCTATCTATCTATCTATCTATCTATCTATCTATCTATCTATCTATCTATCTATCTATCTATCTATCTATCTATCTATCTATCTATCTATCTATCTATCTATCTATCTATCTATCTATCTATCTGTCTGTCTGTCTGTCTGTCTGTCTGTCTGTCTGTCTGTCTGTCTGTCTGTCTGTCTGTCTGTCTGTCTGTCTGTCTGTCTGTCTGTCTGTCTGTCTGTCTGTCTGTCTGTCTGTCTGTCTGTCTGTCTGTCTGTCTGTCTGTCTGTCTGTCTGTCTGTCTGTCTGTCTGTCTGTCCGTCCGTCCGTCCGTCCGTCCGTCCGTCCGTCCGTCCGTCCGTCCGTCCGTCCGTCCGTCCGTCCGTCCGTCCGTCCGTCCGTCCGTCCGTCCGTCTGTCTCTCTGTCTGTCTGTCTGTCTCTATATATGTTTGTCTCTATGTCTGTCTGCATGTCTGACCGCCCGCAGGCCCGTCTGTCTGTATGTCTGTCTGTCTGTCTGCCTGCCTGCCTGTCTGTCTAAATATGAGAGAAATATGGCCGGAAGGTTGGAATGTTAGTCGGGCCCGCATATCCATTTCTTAACCCTTTGCAAACAGCTGGTTCGTGTGTTCGATCTGTCTATGTCAATCCTGTTGATTTAAAACCCATTTTCTTCTTATTTATCACACTGACAACAGCAATATACACCAGCACTTACCGGATGGCGTCGTTGGTGACTGTGAACTTCCAGTGGGAGCAGCAGTATTCGTTGTACCTACATGACCAATCTTTCATTATTCATAACTTCTCATATATTTTATGTTTCCCATACATTTATCTAATCAATTTTTCCGCCCACAGCTGCCGCTTCTCCCTTCAAGCACAACACTTAACTTTTGCAACCGGGTTTGGTTTGCAGCAGATGGTTTTATTTTAAACAATATCTGACTTAACAGTGAGTACAGGAGACCCAAGAGATCAGTCACGGCTACAATCTACTAAGCTGGAATAGAAGCTAGATGCAGTGCTGACCTGGCAATAACAAAAGCTGATCATAATGATCAACATCATCATGTGCCGTCGATAAAAAGATACGAACAGGCAGGGATTCGGCCAAACAGATCAGGTACTCACCAGATAGCCAGATTTCTCACAGTAACAGAGCAAAGCAACTGCTGAGCTGCAGGAACTGTCTGTCTGTCAGTTGGTCTGTCTGTCTGTCTGTCTGTCTGTCTGTCTGTCTGTCTGTCTGTCTGTCTGTCTGTCTGTCTGTCTGTCTGTCTGTCTGTCTGTCTGTCTGTCTGTCTGTCTGTCTGTCTGTCTGTCTGTCTGTTTGTCTGTCTGTCTGTCTGTCTGTCAGTTGGTCGGTCGGTCAGTCTGTCTGTCTGTCGGTCGGTCGGTCGGTCGATCGGTCGGTCGGTCTGTCTGTCTGTGTATCTAAATTATGACAGGAGTGTGACCAAAAGGGTGGAGTGTTCGACCGGCCTACGCGCCCATTTTTTCTCTTTGGAAATAGCTGGTTCGTTTGTTTAGTCAGACCATGTAAGTATATATGCTCTTCTTACTTATCATACCGATGACAACAATTTAGAGCTAAGGAAGATTAAGGGAAAAGAGACAAACAAGTAAAAAAAAAAAAGTGCTACAAGAAAAGATAAAAGAGCACACGTTGATAAAATGGCAGAAGAAGGGGAAAGGCAACTAAATTTGGAAATAACAAAATACATTATACAATACATTAAAACAGCTAACTGGAACATTAAAACCACGAAGTGGTCCAATCAAAAGCAATCTGATGCTGAGCAGAGGAAAAGATGGGCAGAACATTTTAAAAACTTTAAACAGGCTTGACCCACCAGACTTAACGAAGTCTGAAGAAGAGGCAAAAAAGTGACCACACTCCATATTTATGAAGGACAGATTAATGTTTTAAAAAAAAGTTATTTGCGTATTCTTTACAGAACCAACCCTAGCATTTTTTGATTGTTGTGGTTTTTGTAGGCCAATTTACGTCCAGTAGTTTGCCATTGGTTACTGGACGGTCGGCTTCTCGATACCACTGTCGAAACCAACGCAAGGCGCAAAGCCCACAGGTGGGATCAAACCCGGCACCCGGGCATTACGAAGCGCGTTTGCAATGCCCAAGCACAGACGCCGAGATAAGTGTTACGGAAATCGAAAAGGCAATATATTGCCGAGTAAATAACAAGACGGCAGGTGATGATAATGTTACAGCAGGAATGCTCAAGGGAGCAGATGAGGTACCTATCCAACAAGTTCTAGAAAAATAAGATCAGGTAATCTTAACTAGCAGACAATGAGAAAACAGCCAGCAGAAAATTTTTCAAAGTAGTTAAAAATATGCGGAAAAGAGATGAGAGCTACAACCCTACTGAAATAATTAATGATAAGACAGGAAGGCCATTGATAGATCCACCCGAGATAGCAGAAAGATGGAGGGAATACTTCAATGAGCTCTTTAATCCTCTAGGAGATCATCAGGAAAGAACAACTGAAGAGCACAGAGCAACAGTGTTAGAACCACACATACTAATGGATGAAATAGAAAAAGTCATTAAACAGTCTCCCAAATATAAAGCACCAGGAGCTGATAGATTACCAACAGAAATAATTCAAGCAGCAGGTGAAAGCAGCATCAGATGGCTTCACAGAATATTCAATGCAGCACGGGTACAACAAACGGCCCCTATTGATTGGCAACATGCAATAGTTATACCATTGTGGAAGAACAAAGGAAGCAAACGAGAATGCGGTCGATATCGAGGCATCTCTCTTTTAAGCCATGTTGGCAAAATGTATGCCAAGATAATAGAAACAAGACTGAGACAAGTGATAGAACCACAGCTGGCAGAAGAACAGATGGGATTTAGGAGAAATAGAAGCTGGACAGATGCAATCTTCACACTTAAACAGTTAATAGAAAAGAACATTGAATACAATAAGAACTTATTTGTGGCATTCGTAGACCAGGAGAAGGCATTTGACAGAGTCGACAGACAATTATTTTGGAAAATAATGGCAAGATATGGAGTAAGCGAACACCTCATCGAAGTGTGCAAAAGTTTATACAGGGATTGTAGAAGTGTAGTTAGAATAAATCAGGGAACATCTCATCCTTTCACAGTGATATCTGGAGTAAGACAGGGGTGTGTCTTATCACCACTGCTGTTTATCACCTACATCGACAGTATATGCAAGAATGCCAAGCCCATGAATGAAAATGTTAGTAAGATCAACGAATTACTCTTTGCAGATGACCAGGCCTTGATAGCAGATACAGCCATGAAATTGCAACAACATCTAACATCCTTGAATGAAGAATGTAAAACAAATAATATGAGAATCAACACTAAAAAGACAGAAGTAATGTCAATAGGAAAAAAGAAGACAGATCTAAATATAGCAATAGAATACAAAGGCATTAAACAGGCATCTGAGTTTAAATATCTGGGAACTACATTTACCGAAGATGGGAAATTGGATAAAGAAATTGACATTAGATGCAGTAAAGCAAACCAAGTATTGGGACAGCTGCCCCCCTCTTACAGCATAAGACAGTCCCAATCAGCACAAAGAGACATCTTATTCAACGCATATTTATTCCAACTGTGCTTCCAGTGCCAGACATGGTCACTCACAACAAACCATAAGAAAAAATTAGTAACCACGGAAATGAGATGTCTGAGAAGGGCTGTAGGAGTGACCATAAGAGATAAGATCAGGTATGAGATCATAAGAGAACAATTCGGCACAGAACCAATTCTGGATTACATACAAAGACAGCAAGTGCAATGAGAGAATGCCTTGTGACACCATACCATACAAAGCATACATGGAAAGAGAAGAAGGACGTAGAGCACGGGGTAGACCAAGAACAAGATGGAAGGATAACATCAGAGAAACTCTACAACAGCACGATGTGCCTATGGTCGAGGCAGCCAGAAGAGCTAGAAACAGAACCTTATATCTCCCTCGACACCCACATCGGTAAAAGAGGAAGTGAAGAAGAAGAGGAAGAATCTTAACTATTGCAGTAATTGGAGAGGAATTATCTTATTATGTGTTATGTCAAAACCTGTTGCAAAGTAATCTTCAGTAGAATTAAAGAGGCAGTTGATACAATCAGGAGAGAAGAACAAGTTGGTTTTCGAACTGGAAGAAGTCTGGATCAAATAATTACCGGGAGACTTATTCTAGAAGAATACACTGAGAAGCAAAACACTCTCACCCTGAATTTTATTGAAGGCGTTTGACATCTTACATAGATTTTCACAATAGGAAATTCTGGAATGATACGGCACACCAGCTAAAGTAATACGCATTATTAGAAAACTATACGATGGTTCAGATTATGCAGTGCGCACTGAATATGGTCTAAGTGACTTGTTTTTTGTGTGGAAACTGGAGTAAAATAAGGCTCTTTTGTTGTCTGAAGTAGGCATTTATTGAGTAATTTAAAAAAAAAGTGTTGCGAAGGAAATATTGGCATTAACTGGGTGGAGACTATACAGCTGGAAGATCTGAATTTTGCAGATTATATTGTTCTGTTAGATAAAATAACAGATATGCAAAGAAAAACGGACAATTTGTTTTCTACAGGATACAAAAATAGGACTACAAATAAGTTATGTGAAAACAAATAAATTAAAGATACCAACAACAGATTATATAGATGTCATGCTAGAGAAAACACCAATGAAAGTAACTAACTATTTTACCTGTTTAGGTAGCAATTTTGACATCATGATTCGCATTGGATAAAGCAACAGTCTTTAAAAACCTTAACACAATATGGATCTCCGTTATACAGCTTTAAGACCAAATTAGGAATCTTCAGTTCTAATGTTATTTCAGTTCTAATATATGCCAGCGACAGCTGGAGAACCAGCAAAGATATAGAACAGCAATGAAATGTATTTGAAACGGTCTTTAAAAAAAAATGTGGACGTCCAAGGTAAACACTAAGAAGATTATTACGAAAGGCGGGAGTCGCCGTGGTGTAGCGGCTAGACGTTCGCCTGTGGGTGTGAAGGTCGTGGGTTCAGGTCGTGACGGAGCCGGACTTTAAATTAAAAATGACCTTGGCTCACAGGTCGACCCAGCCTTGAATGGGTATTAGGTACAAGGCCTGAGAAGTAAAGGCGGCCAGCTTGATGCTGACCACACCACCCACCAAGTGCCGATTGGTCTGTAAAATATAGGTCTAGTCTAACATGACCAATACACATGAAGGCGTGGAATCGGGTATTTAACTTTTTAACTTTATTACGAGAGGCAAAAAATGCTGGGCTGAACTGAAGAAATTGAGAGGTTGTATGAAATAGAGTGGAGGAATCAAAGGCGACTACTGGGTGATGTCTAACGGTACACAGAGATGATGATGATGATAACCGCAATATACATCATCACTCACCAGATGGCGTCGCTGGTGACTGTGAACTTCCAGTGGGGGCAACAGTATTCGTTGTACCTACATGACCACAGTTACATTATTCACAACTTCTCATATATTTTATGTTCGCATACAATCATCTTATCATATACTTTTTCCACAGATGTCGTTTTTCACTTCAAGCACAACGATTACTTTTTTTTTTTCTTGCAGCCTGGATTTACAGCAGTTTCAATAGCGTCCAAAGAGAGCATTTACGGGTAAAATCTACGAAGATGGGATAGAATGTAAATGCAGCGAAGGCCTGGCAATAGCAAAATCTGTGATAAAAATGATCATCATTATCACGTGCCGTACTGAAAAGCGTAGGCTGTGTCATGTTTTGCCATCTTAGATCATCGCCATAATCACGGATCAAGTCAGTGATCTAGTCTCGCCCCTTCTATTTGGATATCCAGGTATTTACCCCTTTGCCTTCTCCTTGCTTTCTCGCCAGTCTGTAACAAGTTCTAGAGTCCATTCAATCACATAAAATGTCCGAAAAACCATTACGTCTAACATTTCTAATCAATTTCCTGTTTTTGTCTGTCTCGAGGAGGACTGCCTAATAGTTTGTCTATTTTGTTTTCTATCAGTCATGTTATTCATTGCATTCTTCTCAAAAATTACATCTCTAATGTCGCACCCCCCCCCCTTTCCCTTCACCCTTTCCATTTTTACCCAGAGTGTCTGTTTGTTTAATATGTCCCACATGCTTATAATAGGTCCGCAGATATATACATAGGATTTTCATACACATTTTAATAATTACGCTGAATGTATTCATATTTAGTCATACTTCCAACTTCACAACAAACAGAGCCACCATTCATACGCTGAACTGGCCTCCCTTTAAGCTAACTGTATACTCTTAGAGTCTGCGTCTGTGGCTTAGGCTTAGGCGTTGCGAACGCACTTCGTAATGCCGAGGTGCTGGTTTAGATCCCTCCTGCGGACGATTTGTCTTACGCTAGTTTCGACAGTGGTACCTAGAGCTGACCGTTCAAGAGCAATGGCAAACTACTAAAGGCAAAATTTGCCTAGAAAAACCACAACAGCCAGTAAATGCTTGGGTTGGTTCTGCAACGTCCTGTAAAGGATACGCAACTCACTTTTAACATTCTCTTTAAAATGCCACCGATGTTGAACAGCATTGCCACAAAGTACCCAAAAAATCATTGTGTTTCATAACCGCCAGCGTATTTCCTTAAGATACAAAGCATTTCTTGCACTAGAAGTCTTATCTGTAACCGAATTACTAAACTAGCTTAAGATTTAATGATTACAGTTTTAAAAAAAAAAACCTACAAGAGTTGAACATGTGTTATTTATTCGAGGATTTTGTTTCATTCGAAAAACGCTGTAGTAACAGTTAGTTGCAAATCCTTACAGGACGTTGCAGAACCAACCCCAGCAGCCCATGGCTGTTCTGTCGTTTCTCTAGGCAAATTTACGTCCAGTAGTTTGTCATTCCCCCTGGACGGTCGGCCCCCTGATACTACTGTCGAAACCAACGCAAGGCGCATGGCCCGCGGCTAGGATCTAACCCAGCACACCGGCATTACGAAGCGTTCGCATCGACTTAGCCACAGAGCCGACACAATAGTAACAAGCATGCTAAATATAATCAGTTCAGAAGTATTTATTTGAATTACGGACATATTTACAAATGAATTTGACTCTGCATTGCGATCCTTGTTTGCGAAAAGACTGTGAACCATTGTTTGGGCAGGCGAAAACAATCGACAATTTAAAAACAAAAACAAATAGCAGATGGTTGATAAAAGATATGGAATGAAACATCTCAAATGTATGGATGGTGATGCAGGATTACCAACTTCGTCTCTGTATTTACTCTGAACATTTGCTGACTCGTTTGATCTTGCCTATATATGTTCACATTGGACATACTGCCCACTCACTAATGTTCTCCAATAGAATACGTACCGCAAAAATCGCAGTAGGCAGGGCAGTTGTCCTCCGCCCAGATTCTGTAGGAGCTGTCAGTACACATTTCTGGCACGTAATCTTGACAGTTGTCCACCAGGTCCTTGCATTCTCGTTGTGGAGGGCTACCTGAGGGAGTCAGGCAGACGGCTGATTAATGGTGTGTGTGGTTGTGTGTGTGTTTGTGTGTGTGTGTTTGTGTGTGTCTGTTTGTGTGTGTGTGTTTGTTTGTGTGTGTTTGTTTGTGTGTGTGTGTGGTAGAGTTAGAGGTAGAAGGAGGCACTGAGGGAAAGAGATATAGAGAAAGAGAGAGAGAGTGAGACAGAGTGAGTGAGAGAGAGAGAGAGAGAGAGAGAGAGAGAGAGAGAGAGAGAGAGAGAGAGAGAGAAAACAAAGAAAAAAAATAGAAACGGAGTTAGGTAATGTAAGTAAATGACCCTTTTCCACTTATTGAGCGTACAGAGCCAGACCTATATTTTACAGACCAATCAGCACTTGGTGGGTAATAGAATCAACATCTCCCGGCCGCCTTTCCTTCCCGTGACTGTACCTGATACCCACTCAAGGCTGGGTCGAGCTGGGAGCAAAGGTAATTTTTGAAGAAAACCCGGTTCTGCCAAGACCCAAACCCACGACTTTTCAGCCCGCAGGCGAGCGTCTAGCGGCTACACCACGGCGACTCCCATTAGGTAAAGAGAAACTGAAAATGACAAAAGGGAAAACAGAAAGAAAGGCACAAGTACGCAAACACATAGACACAGAGTATAGAGAGATAAAAAGTAATAGCGAGAGTCCTAGACGGAGGGAGTCAAACACAAACAGAAAAGTTATTGTTATTCTATTGGTTTTCTTTGCTTATACAACTGCACCCCGTGTTCCTTATCCGGCATTCTCAAAGTATAGGCAGATGTAGTACCTAAAAGCCACCCACACTTCTTTCCACTGAACTGCAAGTTGAGATAAATATAGTGCGTTTAAACAGTCGTGTCCTCACACTTTAACAAATATCTAGAAAACTAATGTAGGGATCAATACGAATCTTTGCATGTGGCCTTAGATTTCCCATGTTTTAAAATTTTATAATTTACAGTTACACAGGTGCTTCTGTTTTCTTGAAGCGGCGAATTTCTTTGATCTCTGGTTGACTAATATTTTGTGTACCCCTACCGAGTAGAAAATAAGTTAAAAAAAGTAAAGGACCCTTTCCACGCCTTTAGGCGTATAGGGCATATAGGGCTAGACCAAAATTTTTATAGACCAACAGCACAAGATGGGTGATGTGGTCAGCATCACACCGGCCGCCTCTACTTCCCGGGATTGCACCCGGTACCCACTCAAGGCTGGGTCGACCTGGGAGCCAAGGTCATTTTTGAAGAAAAGTTAGTCTCCACCAGGGAGCGAACCCACGACCTTCCGATCCGCGGCGCGCGTCTAGCCGCTCTGCCACGGTGACTCCCGAGTAGAAAATACAGTAACTAAAACACGCGTTGAGGTTGTTTGGAAATCAGTTCACATGTACAGTGACGTATGGCGAGAATTTTGACAGCATATCCAGCGCACAATAAAAACATTTTTTACATCTTTTTTTAAAATCTTACTTGAGGGTAGAAATTGCTGGAGATGACCACACGAGAGTAAAAAGCCTATGAAATGGGTGCAATTTAATGTTTTGAAAAATTCCTGTTTTCAGTTAGTTGTAAGAGGGCTGACTGCTTGGAATCAGTGGTTATTTTTTTTTCCACCCCCCCCCCCCCCAAGTCAAAATGAAAACTAGATATTTGTTGCAATAAAAAATATATCTTACAAGAATAGGCTTATTTCCAGGTTACATGCCAAATTTCTACAATTTACACAAGACATTTATTGAATAACAGATTTTAAAGTTGGGCACAACTTTAGTACACGACTCTAATACTAGCAAACAGTGTTGAGCATACAACAATATAATTACCTGTGCAGAACCCGCAGGTGTAAGGACAATTAATCTTGGACCAGTCCGCGTAGTCTACACAAGTCTGCTGTCCATAGCTGCGACAGTTGGGTATGAGGTCCTCACACAGCCCGCCAGCGTCTACCGTCGCTGTCACTTTTGAGATAATAGTTTAAAGGCTGTAGTAGCAGCTACTGCTGCATGCGAGCAGTGTCTCTGAGTGATGATGATGATGGTGATGATGATGATGATGATGATGATGAACACGATTATGATGCTGCTGCTATAAGTAAATTAGCTGCGTTACTGGTATTCATCACCACCATGTGCCGTGCTGGTAAGCGTAGGCTGTCATGTTTTGCCGTCTGCCACAATCATCAGAATCATGGGTGGGATCAGCGATTTTGTTTCCCCCTATCAGCATGGCTATCTAGATAGTTATCATCTGTTTGCCTTCCGCTTGCTCTCATTCCATCAATCTTGCCAGTTGTTACCTAGTACTCGAGACCACGCCTTCTCGTAATATGTCCTCCCCGTGTGGGTTCCGATGCCCTATTGTAAGGAAAACAAGAATAGACACACTGCCTCCCTGACAAGCGTGTCGTAAGAGTCAACTATATGGAGGCTTCCTTCGAAGTCGGAGTACATCTGCCTAAGAGGCAAGGAACCAACAGTCTGCATACAAATAAGACATATCTGTGAAACGTGCATGCAACACTCGGTTTCTGGAACAGGACTGCAGTCCAGAAGTGGACGAACAACCAGAACTTTCTGCCAGAATTTACAGCTGGTGAAGGCAAAAAAGAAGAAGATAATATGTCCACACGCACACACACACACACACACACACACACACACACACACACACACACACACATACAATATAACTGTGTAGGTCTGGTTGTTCCAATCAGTTTACGACTGTCATCTGTCTCAAGGAGGACTGCTACAATTGCTTTGTTACCATTACATGATATTCTGTGCAATCTTCTCAAAAACCACTTCTTTACCGTGAGTAAATGTTTTCAGCTTATCTGCTTATTGTTTATGTATCAATGCATATAACAACATAGGCTTTACGTAACACTTAAATACGTCACTAGCACTATGATTGTGACAGTTATAATAATAACAACAACGCATACAGTATTTGTGAGTGAAATGTAGCACACACGTACACTTATTTAGTGCTTTCAGTTACCTAACAGTGTATTACCTACCTAGAACATTAGAAACTAATAGTAACCAGGCAGCAATTTGGTAAACCATGTTTGTTCCCTGATAGTTTATCAATAGATCTAGCAGCCAGAAATCGTGTCTCAAGACAAGACATTTGTTGCATTTGGGTCATATACGGTAAGACTTCTTTCTTTTCTCTACTCTTGCAAAGCGTCAGAGGAGGAAACGATCTCTAAAACGGGCCATTCTAGTCAGTCGGTGAAATCTCTTCATTTTCTACGAGCACTTTAAAAAATAAAAATAAAACCATTGTCGGTTTGCTAGACCACTCATGGTGTTTTCAAACTTCATAGAAGGTCACACTTGAGCTAGACTATCATATTCAGACCAGTTTAACACAATTTCCACTCTAGTATGTTGGAAACTGACCCCGGTTAGATGCTGGGGGTGGGGGTGGGGGGGGGGGAGAAGGGGGGGGGATGCAAACATCCCCTTGCCTCGCTTTCTTGACCGGAAGTAAGACTGAATAAAACAAATTATGTGTAGAAATACTTATAAATTACAAAAGAAGCGAAACCGCTAGCGAGTTATATGTTGTGAGTCATTTACTTTATAACAATGACAAATTCATGTATTAGTTAAATAACAGATCTGCCTCTTGCATGAGAGCTCCCGTGGTACAGCGACGTTAGCCGTCCGATCCAAAGGTAGTAAGCTCAAATCCGCAAGGAGCCGAACTTTTTATTTTCACAAATGACCCTGGCTCCCATCTCGATCCAGCCTTAAATGGGCTCCAGATAAAGTCTTGGGAAGTAAGTGAGGCTAACCACAAACCCCACTGAGTGACTATTGGTCTGTAAAATATAGGTCTGGCTCTGAACGCAAAGGGTTCTTCAGTTTAAAGGCAGCTGGTTATAATATCTCTTATCTTGACAGGATGATATTGTTTCTGTTAAGCCAAAATAACAAAGACATGCACAGAAAAACAGACATTTTGTCGCCTACAGCAACACAAATAGGGCTGTAAATAATGTATGAGAAAACAAACATAATAAAGATACCAACAACAGATCATGCAGATATCTTGTTAGGGGGAAAAAAACGGACTGTTTCACCTTTTTGGGTAGCAGATTTGACTCTCAAGGAGACACAACGGAGAAAATTATGCATTGACAAAGCAATAACATTCTTTTAAAGACCTAATAAAATATAAAACTCCAACTTATACATCTTTAATACCAAATTATGAATCTTTAGTTCTAATGTTATCTCAGTTCTAATGTTATCTCAGTTCTAATGTTATTTCAGTTCTAATGTTATCTCAATTCTAATGTTATTTCAGTTCTAATGTTATTTCAGTTCTAATGTTATCTCAGTTCTAATGTTATCTCAGTTCTAATGTTATTTCAGTTCTAATGTTATCTCAGTTCTAATGTTATTTCAGTTCTAATGTTATTTCAGTTCTAATGTTATTTCAGTTCTAATGTTATTTCAGTTCTAATGTTATTTCAGTTCTAATGTTATTTCAGTTCTAATGTTATTTCAGTTCTAATGTTATCTCAGTTCTAATGTTATTTCAGTTCTAATGTTATTTCAGTTCTACTGTTATTTCAGTTCTAATGTTATTTCAGTTCTAAAGTTATTTCAGTTCTAATGTTATTTCAGTTCTAATGTTATTTCAGTTCTACTGTTATTTCAGTTCTAATGTTATTTCAGTTCTAATGTTATTTCAGTTCTAATGTTATTTCAGTTCTAATGTTATTTCAGTTCTAATGTTATTTCAGTTCTAATGTTATTTCAGTTCTAATATATAACAGCGACAGCTGGAGAACCACCAAAGATATGGAACAAAAATTAAATGTATTTGAAAACAAAAATCTGAGAAAAACAATCATGCACATAAAACGGGATGAATTAAAAAAGGATGAGGAGATAAGAGAAATGTCGGGACAAAAATCTGCACTGACTGCAGTAAGACAAAGAAGGTGGAGAAATATTGGACACACTCTAAGACCTAATGAGCAAAGAATTACAAAACAAGCACAGAAACGGGAAACAAAGGGTGGGAGAACAAGAGGACCTCCAAGGGAAACATTAAGAGGAATTTTATTACCAGAGGCTAACAACGCTGGTGCCGGGCTAAACTCCATGTCAGAACTAGAGAAAGTTGCATGCAATAGAGCGGAGTGAAAGAATCGAATGTGAACCCTATATGCCATCTAACGGCACACAATGGATGATGATGATGATGATGATGATGATCTTGACATAGCAGACGGCAACGAACGAGCTTCACACAGCTTCACTCCGATATCGTGTAATCCTATTACGAGAAAATATCTGTAAGCTATAATGAAAATATTGACCACAGACACAAATATGTTAACAGGAAGACTTATGAGCACAATATTTAGATACGCCACTGTAGGAAATCGTTTAGAACCGGATTAAATGAGACTACAATATGAGGCTGGCCAACTTTACTTCTCACGACGTAAACTAGTAATCATCCGAGGTCAATTTTGAAGAAAAAAAAGCAAATCATCCTCGATAAAGATTTGAACCCTAGATCTTCAAGCCGCAAGACGAGCTTCTGGCCACCATGCCACCAGGACTACCAGTAAGACGTGACAAGGACAATATACCCAGTGCGTCTCCAGGCAGGAAAGTCCTTGACTTTGCTCATCATACTATCAAGGCTCAGGACTTTTTTCAGGACAAAAAGGTGCCTGTTCTCACCACATAGTGTCTAATAAAAGGTGCCTGTTCTCACCATATAGTGTCTAATAAAAGGTGCCGGTTCTCACCACATAGTGTCTAATAAAAGGTGCCGGTTCTCATCATATAGTGTCTAATAAAAGGTGGTTGTTCTTACCACATAGTGTCTAATAAAAGGTGCCTGTTCTCACCACATAGTGTCTAATAAAAAGTGCCTGTTCTCACCACATAGTGTCTAATAAAAGGTGCTTGTTCTCACCATATAGTGTCTAATAAAAGGTGCCTGTTCTCATCATATAGTGTCTAATAAAAAATGCCTGTTCTCACCACATAGTGTCTAATAAAAGGTGCTTGTTCTCACCACATAGTGTCTAATAAAAGATGCTTGTTCTCATCATATAGTGTCTAATAAAAGGTACCTGTTCTCACCACAGAGTGTCTAATAAAAGGTACCTGTTCTCACCATATAGTGTCTAATAAAAGGTACCTGTTCTTACCATATAGTGTCTAATAAAAGGTACCTGTTCTCACCATATAGTGTCTAATAAAAGGTACCTGTTCTCACCATATAGTGTCTAATAAAAGGTACCTGTTCTCACTATATAGTGTCTAATAAAAGGTACCTGTTCTCACCATATAGTGTCTAATAAAAGGTACCTGTTCTCACCACATAGTGTCTAATAAAAGGTACCTGTTCTCACCATATAGTGTCTAATAAAAGGTACCTGTTCTCACCATATAGTGTCTAATAAAAGGTACCTGTTCTCACCACATAGTGTCTAATAAAAGGTACCTGTTCTCACCATATAGTGTCTAATAAAAGGTACCTGTTCTCACCATATAGTGTCTAATAAAAGGTGCCGGTTCTCACCACCTAGTGTATAATAAAAGGTACCTGTTCTCACAACATAGTGTCTAATAAAAGGTGCTTGTTCTCACCACATAGTGTCTAATAAAAGGTACCTGTTCTCACCATATAGTGTCTAATAAAAAGTGCTTGTTCTCACCATATAGTGTCTAATAAAAGGTGCTTGTTCTCACCATATAGTGTCTAATTAAAGGTGCTTGTTCTCACGATATAGTGTCTAATAAAAGGTGCTTGTTCTCACCATATAGTGTCTAATAAAAGGTGCTTGTTCTCACCATATAGTGTCTAATAAAAGGTACCTGTTCTCACCATATAGTGTCTAATAAAAGATGCTTGTTCTCACCACATAGTGTCTAATAAAAGGTACCTGTTCTCACCACATAGTGTCTAA